TTAGGCATAGTGAAGTCAAGTCAGAAAGGTAGGCGCGGTCGGTAGGATGGGAAGAAACTGTATAAGATAGGCCCGAGTGTAGCCATGCGAAAAGGCAGGCAAAAGCAGCAAGAAAGGAACCGGACGGACTTATTGACAGACGGACAGGCTGCAAGTTTAGGTGGCGGGAAACTAGCGGTCTGGGCGCCCGCTCCGCGGACGCTAGAGCATGGTTGGTTGGTGTAGTGTGGGCTGTCCGCCTCCGCTGCGCTGCGGCGGATGAAAGAATATTATGAAATCAAAGCTAAATGTATTATATGTATTACGTGCCCTACCAAGTCCGCGTTCCAAAGATCTCCCTGTACACAATATTGTTGGTGTGTACGTTCCCGTCCTCATCGATGGCCTCTGGATCTACAGCAATCTTGATCGCCTTCCTCGAAGTCACTCTCGACAACGCCACATAAAGCTGCCCATGTGCGAAGACCGGTGATTCCAGGTATATACCCACGTGGTGGATCGATTGTCCTTGGGCCTTGTTGATAGTCATGGCGAACGCTGGAACCACGGGGAACTGCTTACGCTTGAGTTTGAACGGGAACTCCTTGTCATCGTCCTCACTATAAAAGACGATCCGAGGAATGAACACCTTCTTACCCTTGAACGGCCCGGACATAATGCTGGCCTCGATGCTTCTCTAGCGCAGTGACACAACCCGAAGCCGCGTTCCGTTGCAAAGTCCTGCGTCGCTATTCAGATTTCTAATCTTGATGATAGGTGTTCCAACCTTCAGAACAATCCTGTGCGGAGGGATACCGGAGAAGTTAAGAGAGTTTAAGGACTCCTGCTCAAACATATTTGCATCCGCGACCCCTTCAAGGCTGTCCACCGAGAGATACTCCTTCGTTTCACCCGACAGCCGTTCCGCAACCATGTCGTTGATACGCCGAGCACTTGCATTTGTGGGGGCTAGTATGGCTCGCTCAACGAAGTATTCATCGGGTAAATTCTCAGTATCGACGCCCGGGTACACCGCATCTATGAGTGCGTTGACGTTGCGGACTCGTCGGTCTTCTTCAACTTCGTCCAAGTCTCGCTCGTGCTCCTCGTCCGCCGGAGGGAGTAACCTGAAACTTGGTGGAGGCTCCATATCCGCGTCTTCTTCATCAGAGGTCATTTCTTGCACCCATCGTTCTGGAATGATACACATGTCGCGTGGGAGGCATATATCGCCATCACCGATCTCATGATTGACTGGATAACGACCTTCTCCAATTCGAAGTAAAAATTCAGAGAATTCCGCTAACTCAGCCGCACTGGCCGCGTCTGGGGCGGTGCGGACACGCATGTTCTCGGTCAGCCGCACTTGACGCAAATGCTCCCATAGGGGCGAAGACTTGAAGCAAGCTTGAATCGTCTCCGCACGCGTAGCATCCTTCAGTACAGGTAGGATCTGGCGGTGATCACCGCTGAACACCATTACCTTTCCGCCGAACGGCTCCAGCTCGTTCTTCATAATATCCCGAAGCGACCTGTCAACAGCCTCAAAGCAAGCTCGATTTATCATCGGCGCTTCGTCCCAAATGATCAAACTCGCGCTACGAATCAATTCGGCTTTTTGGCTCTGCCATGAAAGGCTGCACGTCGACGTCTCTGTTAGTTTGAGGGGAATCCGGAACGTCGAATGCGCGGTATGACCTCCGGTTAACATGGTGGCTGCAATCCCACTCGATGCAACCGCGATGGCAACCTTACGTTTCATCCGAACGTGAGCGAGTATTTGCTCGAGTAGAAATGACTTTCCTGTTCCACCTGGACCATCCAAAAAGAAAAGCTTCTACCCTCCAACCGGTCTGCTCACAGCAGCAATAACTTGGTCAAAAATATCCCTCTAGTTGCTGTTCAAGTGGTCTGCCTGCTCCGCAACATGCTCCAGTTCCTTTTGGGGGTACGCGTCAATCTCTTGCTGGACAACATCAACAGACGCTGTGTTCGGGTCGTTCACTTGAGCAGATACATCGTCGTAATCGGCTAGCAGAGGAAGGCCGTACATGTCGAGAGACTTTTGGTTTGAAGCCAAGTAATCAGCCAAATTCTTTAACGCCTTGTACTCTGCCATTCGAAGACGCACCTGCTCTTCGCGTACATTATGCAGGTCTGCGTCTCTTACCTCAATGCTTCGTGCATAATCCTCTGACATATCCTTTTTGAACCTGTCCCATAGATCTTTGGCATTACCAGGCATGGAGTAAACCAAAATGATGCCGAAGAGTTGGCGTAGCTGGTACGGCATCTTGACCTCGGCGGCTTCGCGTAAGTAATGTATCCACTCGTCGTCATTTTCCAAATATCCAAGCGCCAAAGCTGCTTGCTGATATGTAGGATGTTCCGTACCATCAACCGTTCGAAGATCCGCAAACGACTTAGGCGAGCGTCGGTTACACAGGAGAAGTCGTGAGTAGAAGCGTTCCGGGTCCTGCGGAGATACGTGTACCAAGCGTCCCAGAGAAGCAACGTACTTCTTATACGGTTCCCACGTCTTGTGCTCTGTCCACCTGTATTTCCGCGGTACATCCTTGTACAGTAGATTGACCGTAGCTTCTGGGTTACGCGCGCACAGCTTGAAAAACTCCGTCAGCATTGATCTGTCCCCGCGGTTAATCAAGTTGTGAAGCTGGGGGGTCGTCGCTTGGTCGCGATAAGCAACCATGCTCATCCTTTCCAAGTGAATAGGTAGCGTCACGACAGAATGTGTTGATCCTTGTGTTGGATGCATGAATAGCCGCATGCAAGCTTCTACCGGAGAAATATACCTCCCAAGGTGATACTGAAGAATTTCGTTCGCCCGAATTTCTTCGCCTTCAATCGTGATTGTCGTCATGTCCGAGCCCTTGTAGACGTACTTGTAGATGTACTTGATGGCCTTGTTCGTGGCACAAACCTCGACGTTGATGTGGCAGTTGTATTTCTGCGACAGGAACGGATTGTACGGGACCACCCATTGATTGATGGTCGCGTTGTCCCATACTTTCCCCTTATGGCACAAAATTCCATCCGGACGGCGACCACGCTTGTTCGCCAGAGGATTGGTTGCGTCACTGATATTTTTTAAAAGAGTTCTGAGAATTTCCTATTGGCAATTCAGTTTTAGGATTGGCTTCTTGCACACACGATACTCTCTAATGTCAAGTTTCACATCAGCTAGACGACCGCACAGCATCAACTCTTGAAAAATTGGACGTGACTTAAACGTTTCGCCCACAGCATTGGGCCCACGATCGCCAGACCGCTCTGGTCAACTCACAGCCTTTTACGTAGATAAACGTAGACAAATCCGTTGAATCAGGTGTTGGGTGGGCGTAAAATTCTATCGCCAGGGACTTGATCCCACAGTTTCTCAGTTTTAATGTGGTTGCGGAATTTACGGAATTCCAGATTTCGAGCGAGTTCGCGGCGGTGATGTTCAAGCTGATGCAACGTAACGTTAGATTCAGTCGAATTCAGGCGTCAGGTCTGGATTTTCGTTCGGGGCATTGCTGCAGACGCGTGTGTCAAAATTGGTCCTGGGTGAGATTGTAAAGTGTCTGTTTGCCCCACCTCAACACTAGCAAACGAACACAGTGTACTACTTCGAGCACCGGGATTCGAGAGAAGATCCAATTAAGTCGCTGACAGTGTACTGCGGGTCTACTCTGCGTAGACTTGGCTTTGAAGCTCTGTGCTCGGCGATGGTTGTGTGTCAATCCACTACCGAGGCTTCAACATGGATCCGAATAAGGTGGACACGCAGCATTGGTGGAAATGGATAGCGTACGCTTTCTTTTCAGCGCGAGAGCACATACTAGCTCATCTATCGAAACGTTGAAGCTTAGTGGGTTTCACAAAATGTCCACTACAGACATGGAGAGCTTTTTAGCGGTAGTGAAGTCCGAACATCGAGAAGAATTGTTGTTTATGAGCCCGCGAGGAAAAAATGACGATAGAATCGCAAGTGCAAAGAAGCAATTTGAAATTTGAAACGCAGTTCGGTTCTAGAACAAATGTGCATCGAATGGAGCCATACGCAACTTTATGCTTCCTATTCTTTAAATTGTACAGTCGCCAGTCCTCGTTAATTATCTGCTCAGCTCGCATAACAGCATTCAGCTGGGTTATCAAGTCTCCTGCTTTTTTTTCGTCATTTGATAATAGGTAGACAAGCACAAGAACCTGGACATCCCACGTCTCCCTCTTGTCTAAAGCTTGACGTACGATCATCTACGGTGCTTTCAGATAAGCTGCACTGGGATTTTGTCGCTGCTGAACTCCACAGAGTCGTACAAGGTCGAACGATTCCTGATTTAACCCTTTCGGTAACAGATCCAGAATTTTCAGGTATCGAGGTTCTAATTTCTGCTCGAATTTTGGTTCACCTTCTCGTCCAATACTGTGCCCACTTCACGCCAGTCTTTTAGCAAACATCGCCGCAAGTCGTAGTTCTACTACGGCTAACAACGCAGAGCTTCCTTCATCATTCGAAACCTATCGATAAATGCAGCATCCGAAATAGAAAAAAAGCCCGTTGAGGTCACGAAACTTGGAGGCTACACGTTTGACTCTTCCATGGCCCGTCTTTCCTGTCAAACTGGTCGAAGGTCATGTGGGGCTTTGCCCTAAGGTACTGTACTGCTAAACACGATTTGTTCATTCTATCGGTTTGTAAAGGAGCTTACAAAGTTGATATACCGAATATATCATTTTCAACAGGAACGACACCACGACTCCAACACAGTCGACGCTCTTCTGTGTCTCCTCCGGCCACTGCTTGGAGCAGTGCTCCGTGCTTTCATAGCCAACCCCGCTACATTCCTAATCGTCCACTTAGCGCCCATTTAGCTGGTCGTTGGGATAACAGATAAGAGAGACCAAGCTTGCGTCCATCAAGGTGCTTTTGAAACGGTCTCTTCTTGACAAATTGATCAACTTTGGTATCTCTTCACCTGCAAATTCTCCACAAGCGACACATCAAGTGTATTTCCGCAATGCCATCACTTCGTCTCCGAAGTAGCAACAGTGCTGCGTCACCCACTCCAGCCTCTCCACAGCCTTACATCGGCGTATCAACTCCAAAGAATTGTCCAAGCGAAGGTTCTGTCAAAACTGATATACCAGCTCCTCGACTGACACTCGAATGGCAATCGCTGCAACTGCAAGTAAACTTGCAAAACGCACAGACCAAGCAACTGGAGCAGAAAACAATTCTCGAATCCATGAGCGGCGTGGCTCAACCAGGTGAACTTTTGGTGGTCATGGGTCCTTCAGGAGCTGGAAAGAGCTCGCTGCTCGACTGTATTTCCGGACGCAACAATGCCGTCAATGGCCAAGTTACCGTGAACGGAAAGTTATGGAGTAAAAAACTCAAACGCTTTGCCGCGTACGTGATGCAGGAGGATTTATTCCATGCCACCCTGACAGTTAGAGAGCACTTGATCCTCCAGGCGAGACTGAGAATGAGTGGGGCTTTCAGTCGCCAACAGTACCTCGGACGAGTGGACACGCTACTGGAGGAGTTTGGCTTGTCCAAGAGCAAAGACACGCTAATTGGCGGCTGGATGCAACGAGGTATTTCCGGTGGCGAGAGGAAAAGATTGGCGCTGGCCACAGAATTGTTGACGAACCCATCTGTGTTATTTGCCGACGAACCGACGTCAGGACTAGATAGTTTCATGGCAAAATCGGTGGTGCAACAGTTGCGAAGACTTGCAGTGCACGAGGGGCGCACCGTAGTGGCAACAATTCACCAACCGTCGTCGGAAGTATTTGCGCTGTTTGATCGATTGGAGCTATTGGCGGACGGTGCAACAATTTATCAGGGGAAAGCAACAAAGGTGGTGGACTATTTTGCTGGTTGTGGCTATGAATGTCCGATGTTTATGAACCCGGCGGACTATTTCATAGAGAAGATCGTCGTAGTCGATGCTGATTCGGATCAGGCTGGTGTCGAACGGGTAGGTGCGTTGAAAGAAGCGTGGAAGACCCACGCGCAACAACGCAGCGAAGCAATTGAAGTCGTGTACCCACAGGATATCGGATCGAAAGAGATGGCTACATTTTACGAAACACTGGGTTTTGCAGACTCAAGAGCGTCAGTCGGGGGCCAAATTCGCGTTTTAGCGACGCGAAACGCGCTCAGACTACTACGTGATAAGACAGCATTGAGACTGCAGAGCGTCCAGACTCTGGTGACGACTCTACTGGTTGGTATTATCTTTTTCCAGTTGACTTTGGACCAACAAGGGGTATCGAATTTCTCCGGCGCCTTCTTCTACATTGTAACGGAGCAAGTATACGGAGCTTCCATGCCAGCCATCATGTCTGTGCCCATGGAGCTTCCTATCGTTTATCGTGAGTACGACATCGGCCTGTACTCTGTTGCATCCTGGTACGCCGCCAAAAACTTGTGTGAGTTGCCTCAGCAAGTCATTCTCCCGATTATCAGCTTGTTGCCGCTGTACTTCTTAGTGGGAATTGGCCACGACTTCAGTATGTACATTCAGATGCAACTCGTTCTGATTCTGTTGCACAGCTCGTGTGTGGCATTCGGATACTGCATTTCTTGCGTCTGTCGGCGTATTGACATCGCCCCCCTCGCTGGCAACATCGTGTTAATGCCTCTGCTGTTACTTGGTGGTCTCTTCATCGACCCGAGTGACGTGCCTGGGGTTCTTCGCTGGGTTCAGTACATTACACCTTTCCGGTATGGGTTCTACGGCCTCATGCGGGTTTTCTGGCGACGAGTTGACGAGATCTCGTGCGACGACGTCGCAACGGGAGCGACCTGTGCTGCCACCACGGGGCTCGAAGTGCTCGCGAACAAAGGCATCTCCAACAGATCCGTGGTGTCGGACTTAATGCTGCTCTTAGCATTAAGCGTCGGATTCCGGGTCATTGGCTACATTGCTCTTGCTGTAAATGTCGGAAAGAGGAAATAAACGACGTCCATTTTGGCATTTCCAATTTGGCAACATCCGTTTTCTTTCGATAAAAAACTTTTGATGGCGTCGTCAGTTTGCGACTTTCAAAATAAATTTCTCACAACTCGACGATTATAATTTTAGTTCACTTCCGATTTTCACAAGTAAAACCCTTCAGTCTTCAGCAACTGCAAGAAAATGGTGCAATTATCGCTGGCAATTCCGGTGGTGTTACTTGTATCAGCGGTACCCATCGCCCCTGTAGCCAGCCACGAGGCGTATGCTACCAAGGTTCCTAACGGCCGCAACGTCGAAGGTGTCAAAGCGATTGGACACACCGACGTGAACGGCGGCGGGATAAGGAACGCGTTTGGCAGAGCGTTCTTCGATGCAGGCCACACGTGGACCAGGGAACTTTGCCAGACCGACTCCGATCGCGATGGCCAGACGAATGGCGAAGAGCTGGGAGATCCGTGCTGTGAGTGGACGTCGGAGTCGGCTAAAGACCCGCTGTGGACAAGTGGCGTGTCGAATCCTGGAGACGACGCAAGCACGTCGGACAACACCACGTGGCCGGCCTATGAGTGCTCGGTTGCGGCCACCAGCAGCTCCCAGGAAGGCAGCACGAGTACGAGCAGTAGCGCTGACGGCTCCAGTACCTCGACTTCAACGGCGCCAGCTGCTTTAAACGGCGTTGCTGGTGTCGCTGTGGCCGGTTTGTTGACACTTTTGGTAGGGATCGCTGCTTAGATAACTGAGAAAATGAAGCAGTGTGAAGCGCTTAAGAAGAACTTAGCGGTAGCTTACAGCTAACAAGACATGCTTGAGTCGCTCTATTTCGTTGTTGTCGTGATTTTAAGCACTTACTTCAATAGCAGCAGTATTAAATACATGTAAGAGCTTATATTTACTGGAAAAACAAGGAGTAAACTCACAGAGTTCTGGTGGCGATGAAGAATGGCATGGAGATCCCCATACCAGAAGACAAGTCATTATGGAAGTTGCATTCTAAGTACATGTACCATACGAACATGTGTACCGGTAGTGGTGAACGAACTATTATTAATAGGTAGTGTCTAATAGCAAAACGACTAACATGTCAGCGGAGTATTTAGATACCCTTCATAAAAAAACGTTTCCAACAGTGATGCATCGCTCTGCGCTGCGCTTTGGCGCTTGATATGTGGCATCCAAGAGAGTAGAAGTAGTGGGATCCGCTTGGAAGAGATGCGTCCAAGCGTTTTCTAAAGAACTGATGCACTTGCCTCGGACCATTTGAGTTTGTTAATCGTGGTAATTGAACTTGTCGATGGCTACAAAAGGCCCCAGAAGAACACGTTTCTACTTGGCGACTCTGAGGGCATTTCTAGCAACGACCCCCCCCCCCTTGGTCCACAAAGTGATTCGTTTGACTTGCATCACTAAGATGAAATATCCCTTCAGTCGAACGAGCATTTGTAGCCTTTGCCCTCCATTTGTCCGTCACCATCTAAAGCGGTCTCGCAAAGATCCTTAGTCCACAATGTCCTCAAAGTTTTCGCCAAATTCATGCGACTCCACCGCCATCGACGTCACGCCTCTCAGTGCCGCTACTCCTTTAGCATTGTCTCCATTTGGAAGCTGCGCAACATACTCCGGGTGCTCATTGACATTGTCGAAGGCAAGTGTAGAGAGTTGCCCCACAATCAGTTCGACTAGCCTTGCAGTGCAGATTAAAGTTACTGATCGCATTTGATTGGTTGCCCAGATTGAAGTGCATCTTTGAAGCGTTTCTAACACGAAATTGGCGTTTAAAACACGAATGTATCCACTTTCTCCTGCAAATGCACGCGCTCTCGCCCAATCAAAGCAAGCTTCATTTAGCCAATCGCATCGCACCCCACAACCCAAGAGCTCCGCTAGCCCATGTCATCGCGAAGACTCGTGCCCGTGGCCGTTCTCGCGCTGCAGCTATTCTCTCGAGCAAATGGCTGCTCAGACTTCCTGCTATCGCCTGCAGCGTCTCCGCGAAGCGTCATCAGTGGCCGTTCGATGGACTTTGAGGCGGATTTGGACTCTGCACTTGAGGTGATCCCAAGGAATACCCATTTCCAAGAGTTGCCTGTTTCTGGGTGCCCTGATTGCCCAGATTTGGAGTGGCAGAATAAATTGGGCTTCGTGGCGGCAAATGTGTATGGCGTGAATGTGGCAGCTGACGGAATGAATGAGGCCGGACTCTCAGCGGCGTGGCTGTATCTGGATGCAACTGAGTACCCAAATCTTGAAAATGGAGTCGGCAACTTCAACAAGACCAAACCAGTCGTCACTTCGATTTGTTCGTATATTTTGGGCAACTTTGCCACCGTGGACGAAGTAAAAATTGGTCTCAAAAAGGTGCAACTCGCTGGAATCAATGGCGAAGTAGCGCAACAGCTTCTTCACGTGTCTGTTCCACAAGACGGCAGCGCTCATTCGGCGCCACTTCATGTCAGTATCCACGATCGCAACGGCAACAATTTGGTAATTGAGTTCTTGCAAGGAGACCCCATTTTCCATGATAACCCAAATGGTGTTCTTACCAACGACCCTCCACTTGAAGAGCAACTTAGATTGCTAAACCAACATTTCGGCGAAACTACGGGAACTGTCAACACAGAAAACCTCCTACCTGGAGGATACGGATCGACGGAGAGGTTTGTGAGGCTTTCCGTGCTGAATAAAAAGATTAGCGAGGGCTACAGCGCACCGTCGGTGCACGCTTCATACGTTGATGCCACCGAGGAACAGCGCGTAGTGTCGGATGCTCTACATTTACTAAACACCGTAGTACGTCCCCCCATGGGGGAAGCTACACAGTGGTCGATTGTGCGAGACCACAAACGACGTATGCTGTATGTCCGCTCTACAGCCAACCAGCTACTACGTCGCGTGAGTTTGGACATGCTGGATTGGGCAGATCCTCACGCGCGGAGATTAATTCCCGTTTCATACGGTATTTGGTTCTTGGACTCGACAGTGCCACTACTTGACGACCGCAACGTCATGCGTACTAAGGATCTACCAGCGCGTTCTATGGTAGAGGCTGCGCTCTCCCAGACACAAGAACCTGCTGTTGCTGTCGGCAGAGTTAATTATTTCAAGGGAGGCGACAACTTGGAGAAGACGAACGATCAGCTGCAATTCCTTGCTGCCACTAGCCAAATGCAACAGGCAAATGAAGTGGGAAGTCTCTCTCCGGTATTTGTCTTTGTCGTTGGATCGGTCGCTGGTGGCATGCTGACGGCGTTGCTGTCAGTTGGCTGGAAACTGATCATCACAGACTGCCTGCGACGTCAGAATGGGTACAAACAGATCGCTGAAATTGAACTACCAGTTGCCATGGAAAGAGTATCAGTTTAGCGGGGTTTTCATCACTTTAGTTTTAAGCAATTGTTAACCGTCCGTTGTTGTTTTTCCCAACTCTTTCAGGTATTTTATGTAAAGTACTGTAATCCAATGACAAGAGAGCCATTACGGTGATCAAATTTGCTGGATCTGCGGTAATAAGCAAATCTCTATTATCAAAAATAAAAATCTGCAGCTCGAATATTTCAAAAATACATTATCAGTGCATTAATCGTACATGTTCACCCCTTCCTCATAATCTAGAGTCCTCATCTCTTTATTACAATTAGTGTAAAATCCAAACAGAAGGCCATATTTACCCTCATGTTCATAATGTCCTACCTTTATGCACCCACCGACAGTAGAAACGTCCCAGTACTTGAGAAACAAGATCCTCGAGCATCACAAGCGAGCAAAATAATCATGCGCTACACACAAAGACCATAAATTGCCGCATGCGTCTCCAGTCGAAGAGTGGCAGATTAAAGCATTGAAATTTGGTACTTCAAGTACATGTAATTAATTAATAATCGCACTTTTTTCAGCAAGATATGTATGTGGTCCACCCTGGACGAAATTATCAGCTCGACGCTTTGGATCATTTTGCGATCTTCTCGAGTCATGTTGCGACTTTTTACGTTTTTCGTATTCCTTGCCATCTATGCACGCGCTGTTGCCTTCTCCATCGATATCAATGGCTGGTATCCTTGTACTCTGACCGACGAGTCTTCTCAGCCACTTCTCAACGACATCAGCTTCGAGTGCGCCACAGTGGGAGCGCCATTGTGTCATTCCGGAACCTGCAACAGCTCCAAGACAATTGAACTCTTTGTCAAGCGGAAACTCGCGTCATCAACGCCACCACAAAAAGGAAGCACACAGAAAAGCGTGTGGTTCTTGGCTGGCGGACCCGGGGCATCTTCAGCTGATTGTACGTACAAAAAGTATATTTTTCAAGAAAAAATTCAGTTCTTTAAATTCTGTATATTATGCAGTGGAGATGGCGATGTTGGAGATTTATTTTTTATCCAAGAGTTCAATTGACGTGTACACGATGGATCATCGAGGAACCGGACGAAGTTCGTTTCTGGACTGTATGGCAGCCCAAGCGACAGCAGAAGGGAGTCCGGGGGGAGCGCAGTTGGTTTTACAAGAACTTCCATACTGTGTGAAAGATATTTTGCACCAGATCGACAACCACACTGAAGCCTTTTCGGTCACTTCTGCTGCTCGGGATTTAGTTTATCTTTTGGATGTGCTCGAGAATGATACGGAAAGTTCTGGAGTGGGGGATGTTTATCTTTACGGCACCAGTTATGGCACGTACTTAGTGGAGCGAGTGATGCACTTGGCTCCATCTCAAGTGAAGGGCTACATTCTCGACGGTGTGGTGTCTGAAGCTGGGTCTACTCCTGACACTAGATTGTTCTTCTCGCACTGGGATCGGAATATTCTGGCACCGACAGAGAGATTTTTCGAACTCTGCTTAAAGCAACAGGAAACGTGTCCTCTTCAGCTAAATCTTGGCGATAAAGGTGATGTCTTGAGTGCTGTACTAGACATTTACAATGACATTGATGAAGCCATGAACGACTGCGCCTTGCAGTTGATGCTACTCACGGGTGTTGACACGCCATCTCAAATTCTGCGGCCAATACTGGGACTGCTCGTTCGAGATTTCTCCGCTCGCACACTAATTCCGTCAATTTTAGGACGGATGCATCGATGCAGCAAAAAAGACCAGAAGGAACTGGAATTGTCACTTGGCCCTTTGTTGGATCTGATACTTCAGCAAGTAGGAACAGCGGCCTCACCCGTTATGAAGACACCGGTACACCCTACATCGCTAATCAAGTCAAGCCTTGACTCATCGGTAACTGGGTCCATTGATCAGCTGGTGTATCTCTTAATTTCCTACTCGGAGCTCTGGGCCAACCCCTCTCCAACAGAAGCAGAGCTGGAAAAACTATACATGGACGGGATCTTCTCAATCGGATCGGTAGCGTTAGCTCAGTACTGCCTTCTCTCGGGCAATCTAAGCCCGACGATGTCAGCTAGTAGTCGAGACCCAGCGTGTAGCCAAATTGCCCTCGACTTTGGAAGTAATACCTCCGACTTTACTCAGAACTTCGTGTACCCTGTAGACGAGTATTCGAACATTACCGCCTCCGTACCGCCTAATACCACTCTGCTAGTGATCAATGGGGGACTGGACTTCCAGACGCCAATGGAGTTTGGTCGTCATCAATACGAATCGGCAGCTTTAAGCGATCCCGAAACGAGTCGAAAGATGATGGTGGAGCTCGAGTTTGGAGCTCATGTGTGCGGCCTAACAGCGACAACTTCAGATGACGAGACGCTATGTGGGCCGAGGATCGTGACGTCGTTTATCGCTAACAACGGCGATCCAGAGCTGGTTGACACTTCCTGTATGAATGCCTTGCCGGAGCTTGAACTCAATGACAAGGCGTTCTCGATGCTGGTCGAGTCTATTATCGAGACTGAGCGTGAACAAATGCTAAAAGGCTTTGACTTTGAAGAGTAGAGTTAGTCAATACATTCAATTACTTTCTGCTTTTCAGTACTGCACTATCGATCATTTTTGTAAGATTTCTTACTTCCAGCTCGAAAAAAATCCAATAATTATTTGATACAAACAGAAGTTATGTAATTGCGATGCAATACGAAGCCTGGGGGGGGGTCTTCCATTTACTGCTTGCACCATAAGTGCGAGCATCATGCTGTAAAAGGCAAAATATAGCTAGCGGTGGATTTCCGTGGACGTCCCGCTCTGACCATCGTGGCCGTCACTCCACCCACGCTCAACGAGCGTTTGACTCCTTGTCTTCGTTTCAGTTCCATTCATCGGTATGGATAACAATCGAATCTGCGACATCGTGTTAATCGAGCAGAGCACCACTTTTCGGACTTCTGCAAGTTTCCAAGTTTACCCTTAAATTCGGCTTCGATTTGGCGTAGCGCTGGTGCTGATCAAGTGTAATCATCGAAGCTTCGCATGGCTGGATGGCTTCAGATACCGGTACATATGTGCTCGATCCAACAGGAAGCAAGCGTGATGCATCTCTACAGTCCTGTATCGCTTTGCCATGTTCACTCATGTGCGTGAGACTCGTATCCATATTATGCACTACAGTATTGATACACCACATGGACAAACGTAAACGTGCTTCTTGACACAGGAGCACCTACGATGTTGATACAGGTTTGGATCCATTCTGCTCTTCACTTTCAGGTCTCATTTTCAAAAAGTCATCGTGTCTGACACTTGACTTCTCCACGATGACCTCGCCCAACTCGCCTAAAACGCCTAAGGCCGACTATACCATGATGGAGCGTGGCAAGCACTTGAACACGCAGCCAAGTCTCCCGATTAACGGGAAACAGCACTCTCAAGACATGTGGGAGCCCACTTCGGCGCGTTCGACCGACTTCATCAGCGACTTACAGTCCGTTCCGCCTCCGTCAAAAGAGTCGTGTCTTCCGTCTCCACTTCGGAAACTCGCTCGTGCGTGGCTGGTGCTGCGTTGGCAACTAACACGCAACTTGTTCTCCGTGCCGTTGCCGCTCTTGACGTCGCTGTTTGACGTCAAGCTCGGCGATCTCTTGATCACTCTCCCGATCTGTATCGTCTTCCTCGTCACCACTGCAATCCAGGCCAAAGACCGCGAAGGTGGAAAGCAGTGGCAACCCCCCAACGTATGGCCTCTTAGTTGTGTTCATCCTTACCGTCCGTAACAACTCGGTTCTTCTGGCACTGACCGGTATCTCGTACGAACGCGTACTGTTCTACCACAAGCTTGCCGCGTTCGTGACCATCATCTTGTCGGGTCTTCACGGTCTTGCGTATATCCTCGCATACGACAAGGGAGAGATCTCTGGAGAAGGAGACATGGTCTTCACTGGAACTGTAGCGTTCGGTGCTATGGTGCTTATGTTCGTGTTCTCCTTGGGCTTCGTGCGTCGTCGCTTCTTCGAGTTCTTCTTACGCACTCACTGGATCCTCTTCATTGTCGTATTAGTGTTTGCAGTCATGCACGGAGCTTCGACTGCTCTCATCGGTGTCGTTCCTTGGGGTATCGACATGGTATTCCGTCACGCGTACCGTCCTCGTGTTTACGCACACGGCTCTATCGTTTGCGGTAAGCAATCGTCACCGCAAGATTCTACAGACAAGAGCATGGGCGTTATCGCACGCGACCAAGTCTCCATCTCGACGCTACCTGGTAACGTCGTCCGGATCCAGTTCCCGCGAGTCCGGAAAGATACCGGAGAGAGCTTCATCTACCAAGCGGGGCAGTAAGTCTTCCTGTGTGTCCCGACTATTTCGAGTCTAGAGTGGCATCCGTTCACAATCGCTTCGTCTCCTCATGAGTCGATGGTGACGTTGTACATCAAGGCACTTGGGGACTGGACGAACAAGCTACAGGCACTTGTTGCTGCCTCGCAAGTGACTTCCCCGTTCGATATTCTGGTCGATGGTCCGTACGGGAGCGGCTCGATTGACATCAAGACGCCTACTACGTACTCGCACTTTGCGCTGTTCTTCGGTGGCATTGGTGTGACCCCCATGCGTTCAATCGTCAACTGGCTGCACTACGAGGTTCACCACGAAGGTCGCTCGAACGTTGAACGCGTCCAGTTCGTCTGGTCCGTTCGAGACCTAGAGATGGTCCAGGGTCTTGTCGTTGACGAGGCTAATGGCTTTGGAGACTACCGGGGTGAAAATTACTTCCCGCATGGGATCGTAGGCAACCGTGACGGTGTCTTCTGTAGAGAGGTTTATTTATCGCGCTCGGAGCGAGACGTCGAGGCTGCTGACTTGGATCGTCATCTGGAGAGTAGTCTCCGCTATGGTGTTCGTCCGGATATTACGACTACGCTACGTGCAATTGGCGAGCAAGCCAAGCAGAATGGCAAGAAGCGTGTAGCGGTGCTAGTTTGCGGTCCTCGAAGCATGGTAAACGACGTGATCAACAAGAGTTTGTCGCTCTCGTGGGAGATAAAGGTGCGTTTCGACGTGCACAGCGAAGTGTTCGAGTTCTAAGAAGAAGGAAGAGCAGAAAAAAACTAGTAGTAGACTTACAATGTATTGTACTTCGAGCCTTTGTTTTTGCACAAACAGTTTTTTCGGGGTAGTATCTAAGAGGTGATGCTCGATCGGATACGGTATTTCTAAATCTTCCAGTCCCACTACGGCCTGACCCGCTCCTGAGTTATACATGTGTACTGGAGACATGGGGCCGAGCTTTTTTAAATACTATCTCCGCTCGGAAAATAAATCACCTTTCCAAAAATATTTCGCAGCGCTCCGCCTCGTTCTTTTTCATGAATATAAAGTTTGATGAGGGCTGCTGATCCTTCCGTAAGACAGGTGCATGCCCAAATGTAGTGTGCTGCCAACTTAGCTGTGCCAAGCAAGACTGCATTCAAGGAGCTTTGACCTTTGAAACGATAATAGACTCGGGTTTTTCTGTTCAAATTGCTCGACTGCGGGTGTGCTTGTTCCGCCACATCAGTGTAGCTGCAGGCGCTCTTGTTCGCCATTTCAGCAGCAAGTTCGTAGAGACTACTGAATTCGTGAGCCACTGCAGAGACCTTTGCCTTGAGCATGCACTAGGCTTGATTGACGACAGCGGATGTCGTTGATCGACAAGCGTGAGGACTTCGTCGCTTTCATCCGCTCGATACACAGCCTTGACCGGCATCAGCAAACTGGACATGTAAGGTGTCCATACCTTAACTATCGCATGCAATAATCGGGGGCCGTTGCACGATGTCAAGCAGCTAACGTTGCCTTCAGCAGGCAGTCCAGCGCACATCAACGTCTGTCACGACGGCCATGTTCGAAGTGCTCGACCCTCGGGTCAGCGCCTTCGTGTGCAGCGCAAAAGGGAGAGTGGAATTCGGTCTTACTCTTCCTATCCTTCCTATCATTACTGTCTCCCACGTGGTGGTCTCGCAGCCTCACGTTCCCCACTCCATACGTATCACGCTCCCGTCACAAACCACCGGCAGTAGCAGCTGCCCGTCGTTCCCTCGTCCAGAGTGATCCCGCGAAAGCGCATCATCTTCCAGCACTCCTCCTCGCCGACACTGCATACTGGCGAGGTGCTCTCAATTCTCAATGCAATCCCACTTGAGCTCGCAGCTCATCAAGTCTCGGAGCCGGCAGCGCCTTCGTTACGATGTCCGATAGCGTTCCTTTTGCTCTCCCAATATTCCGGTCCCAGTACGCCTTCCTTGGTGAAATGTCCAACGAACTTGATCCGTACGTCCACAGGTTTTGCTTTTGATGAAGCACCCTCACCTCCTAGCTGCTTCAGCGCAGCCTGGTTATCTACTCGTAACGGCATCGGCTCCACGAACGCGATCTCCAGCCCCTTGAGCAGTTCTCTTACGCCTAGTAGCTCTTGCGCCATGACCGACGCTGCGGGTTTACTCCGCCTTCATCGTCGACTAAGACACACCCGTCTGCTTACTGCAAACCCAGCTTATGGGCATCCCGTCTACTGTGACGAGCCCACCCGTGACCGACTTCGCGTCGCCCTTATCAGCCACGAAGTCCGCGTCACTATTGCCCACGACTCCCAGTGGCTCCGTCCGCCCTCTGTCTCCTTTCTTCGCAAGCCTCAGCTGCTTCGTCCCAGCGAGATACCGCAGTACTCGCTTCGCCAACTTCCCAGTCCGTGATCGTGGGTTCATGCGTCCGCCGCGACGCCTTGTGAACAGCAAAAGCTATATCTGGCCTTGTGCAACGAGCTACCCAGAGCAGGCTGCCCACCAACGACTGGAACTTTTACATTGTCGCAACTGCGGTCTCACCGGAGATTGGCAACCTTTCTAGTTCGGTGTCGCATCCATCACTCCATCCTAGTCCAATCGGGATTCGCGCCATACCCATACCGAACTCATTCAGCATCTCTGTGATCGTGATTTCTTGGTCAAGATCGTATCCATACGACTCATCGTACACGACTCTCATCCCGAGAAACTTCCTGGCCTCTTCCTAATTCATGATGGATAAGTCGGCAAGTTCCACAAAGAGCGCGTCCACGGCCTCCTGTCCCGTTCCTGTCACCAGACTCTCATCAACATATACGCCGACTACCAACACTTCGCGTCCGTGTCGCCTGTAGTAGACACACATGTCAGTCAGGCTTTGTATATAACCGATCCCTTTAACTTGCGGTGTAGGAACTCGCTCCAGAGCCCGGTGCTGTGCTCTTCAGTGACGTTAGCCATACCGATCCTTTCGCGACCGGCAACGGGAGCCACTGGAGGCGGCGCTTGGCCGGCGTCACTGGTGTCCTTATCAGTGGCTTTTTGCATCTTGGCCTCAAAACCTGTTGACGCGTGTTCTTCTCAGTCACGCTGCACTTCGCGCACTTATGGGTAACTATGCAAAAGAGAGAGTGATTTATGGCTTTATGGCTACTAACTAACTGATTTCTACCGTAGGCGATCGCCGTTGCTCGGTGTCTCTCATCTCTGGTCTGGATTCCCGGCCGGACCTTCATTCTTCAACATACAGCTCATGTGTCGACTAGTCACCTTTCTTCTTCTGTTCGCGAGGTTTGTGACGAACCGCCCTCGTTGTCCCGTTTGCAAGCACTGCAGTTACCAGTTCATCTTGGAGCGATGCTGCAACCCCACACTCACACGTCTCATAGAAAGTCTGAAACACAAGCACGACTTGATTGACCATGCGTTGCTAGCAGGCTAGCCCGCAATATTAAGCAATTACCACTGCCATCTTAGGCACATGCCATTTGCTCCAGAATCGATGCGTCTGCATAACAGAGCCATAACTCGAAGGAAATCTAGCTGCGTGCCTCGGGGTGTGGCGGATGCCATGAGTCATCCGTCTCGCTGTGTAGGACAAAACGTAAGCTGTGCTATTTCCAAAGCGACAAGGAGCTTAGCACACTCAAAGTGCCAGAAAACGGTACTTTTCAATTGATTCTGTACAAACTCTACAAGAAATTTAGACCTCATACGTTCCTTATTGCCGAACTTTACAGTATACTCAAGTGCAAACCCACTATATGGGGTACGGCAATCCAACGTAGATCTTGTATAATAGGCGTATCAATTGTTGAAGAAAATTTGTTTAGTTTTTGTACTAAAACCGTTAGTTTGGTATCTGAGTAAAAGCAGTTAGAGTAGGTTTTGGTAAGAATGACTCGCCTCCTAAAATGCTGGATATAAAATCCAGTGAACTACTGAAATGTTCCAAAAAAATCAACTAAGCTACCAATGTCGGTTTGCTGGCCCAAAGGATTTTTTAGTGCAAGTGTATATATAACATTCTTCGCATGAATCGTTTAAAACTAAGCTAGCATACCACATTTGAATATGTCATAAAAATCTTTGAGGCACACACGCTTTTACAGAGCGCTAAAAGATACATGACATATATTTATTGTGGTTTTCATCAATTTTGGCAAAGAGGAGGCATCCGATCCCGATATAGCATATAGCTTTGATTTACAAACATGTTAAGCTCGAAATGATACACAGATATGGACTGTGCATTAAATGCGCCTCTGTTTTACAGCGCGACCGCCATAATTGCCGCTTTCCGGTGGCAAAACCAAGTGGCTTGTGCTCATCCAGGAGCAAATTAAATATTCAGTTTTAGTCAACATTTGATGCATCACTTTGACCTACAGCGACGCCTTTCGGTTGCTAGCCGTAGCTCTTATCCATGTCTACGACGTCTCTAGTGCGTGAGTGTACGAGTTATTCGACCCGAAGCAGCGAGCACTTCGCCGATGGTAAATTGTCAGTGAGAATCAGCCTTATCAGACCTACACATGCTGCCTTCCAGCAGCTTTAGCTGCTATGAAAGGTTACGCTGAAGCACACTCGATGTTCCACATTAAAGAGCTTCGCGAGTTTGTGATAAAAAATTACCAGCAATTGCAACAGTTTCGACCGCTACAATATGCGGAGCTCTGAACTCTGACCTCAATCTTTGTCGAAAGGTGCTGCCCAAGACAGATCGACAGACTGTACCTCCTGCAATTGAAACTTACCGCTCGAAAGCGCTTCTTATTTTCTCATTTACTGAGCCGCCAATTTTTCTGGACGAAACAGCAAAAGGTTGGCCACCGCGCTGAGCGCCAAAGTGGTTGGTCCAAGCAGAACACTCGTGCAGTGGTCAAGCTTCCATTGTGCCGAGGCAAAAGACTATCGTATTTGGCGACACTTGATGCGCACGGCTTTATGCCTGGGCATCGACTGAGGGGGCGTTTACGAGAGAGAAGTTCCATGATCCTTTTGTGAAGCATTCATCCCTCGCCCTAATCCGTGGTCGCTTCCGCGTTCCATTATCATTATGGATAATGCCAAACTACAAGCATATCCAGAGCTGCAGGATGTAATGTATCAGTGTGAAGCTCGTTAATTTTCCCTCCGCCGTACTGCCCACAATTGAGTCCGATAGAGCCGTCCATTGGGCGCTGTACCATAGTGAACACACGTATCATTTTTGGTTACCCTGGTTTAGATGGGCGCTATCCCTTTCCGCCCATCGTGCACAATGGTAAGATATTATCCTATATAATACAATACGTTGAGCTCGTACCTGAAGCAGTAGCCAGGGATGTAGCTTGCGTCGCAAATACTGGCGCATTGAATTGTACTCACTTCTCATAGGGATCATCCCTTCATCGAATGCGATCCGCTTTCCGACGGTCATCCCCAGCTTAACGTAGTATGGATGGTGTCTGCCATGGGCTTGCTTTTCTAGGTCTTGAATTTCGTTGCATTGGCTGCGGTGTTATCGCTGAAGTGGGAAAACCACACGATCTTGTCAAATCGTTTTCGTGACAGATATCTATCAAAAACACCCTTTGGAACAACACCTTGAACAGCTACTGCCCAGTGTTTGGCTAACTTCTCTGTGTGTGAGCACAATGTTCTTGCGCAAAACAGACCGATAAAATTGACAGTCTTGTGCGGCGTGATGGGCTTAAATGCATTGAGTCCCTACCGCATCTGCTGATGCGTCTTCAGGTTGTACACTGGAAATTTTGAGTTTTAGACAGCGCTAGCGAGTCGTAATATATTTAGTAGCCTAGAAATTATGTTGACGCTGGTACCGGTTGGTATGTTTCACGATAGACACCCACCAATCCCTCGGTAGAGATAAGAAGAACAGTCCCTCCAAATTGCTCTCAAGTGCCTATCGGTGCCGCAGTGCAATTTGCGAGCTCTTCAGCATAGAGACGAAGGGATGTACCTAATTAAAAAAAGTACTGTTTGTATTTGTGGTGCGACATTTGTTTGGTGTGGCAAACACATCTTTCATGTGAACAGTTTATAATACTCACTAAATATCCATGTTTTGTGTGTCAAAATGTGGTCGTAAATCATAAACCGTACACCATCTTATGCCCAAGCTGAGTTTTACTTCCATTCTGCGAGATGTAGATGAGTAGCGATTAAGTGGGAATCAAACTAATTGCATTTGCGAGCTACATCAGGACCGCGCGTCGGCGCGTCACTGTGTAGCGCGAGCACACCTACGGTGCGAGTCACGGTGTTGGCGAAATAATCGATTACCAGTAGCGCTCATAACCGCTGCGAGGTGCGCTCCTAAATCGTACGAGTAGTGTGTGTATCGCTAAAAAGGTTGGATTTCCATCGGTCATGGATCTTAATTGTCGTTGCGTCAGCTCCTCCTGCCATTAGAGCTAAAGCTCCGCTGCTGCGAAACGAATAACAAGAGTAGTGCCGAGGATCAAAGCCTGTTGCAGAAGAAGCCGCCTTTAGGATTTTGGATAATTCATCAGTCTTCAGCACGCGTGTCCTGCCGAGGCGGCATATCGCGGTAAAGCGTAAAATAATCACTGTATCGAGCCCCAACAGTATTGCGGAAGCAGGTTTTTGACACACTTGCTTGTGACATGAAGAGATGTACCGCGACTTTCTTGGTCAGTTTTGTTACCATAGCGTCTTACCATAGCAGAAGTCTCACCTCGAATAGTTGCTGTCGGGCAGCCTGAAGACCTCCATATCGCATACTTCAAGAGCGTAACGATGCCTGCCTCCCTTCACTGCGATGCACTCGGAGCGCTTTAGAAAATAGAAGTAACCCAGCAACACAGCCCCAAGAAAGAGGCGGTGCTGAGGATTTTGGTAGTCGATGTGCGTGGCAATTCAGGCAAGTATGATTGATGAGACGGGTGCTCGTGGCTGTGGGATCTGACTAGCGCTTCGCATCCTGTAATCGCTGTTGAATGACTGGAAGCTCGAATCCGGATAATGCACGATGAAACAATTTAACATGGCTGATCTGGGCGCTAATGAAGGGAATGGATCCAGTACTCTGGCTTGACGACGGCCATGCAGCAATGCCAAGTAATACCAGTTAGATAAATCGATCGTTAGGGTCGCGTTCTGGGAGCCATGGCGATCGTCCGATTTGCTGAGAAAAAGGGCTGGCATTTAAAGCCTGTTACACGAAGCCACAGCTGCGATGTTGTCAATCCAGAATCTTACATGGGAAAGCAATCCACGGTTGTGCGAGTTTCACAGTTGTCCCCAACATATGACGGCCAATAACACACTAAACCATTCCCTGCATAATATCATTTTCCGTGTCATCAAACTGTACCCGAAGTAGTTCCCGACGGGCTGGATGAAAGACACATCAACCCATGCTACTGGCATCCATGAAGATGAGGATGTCTGGTTCTGGAAGCTTGCAAAAAACCTCGAGGGGTGCACGTTGAGCCTTACTATACAGGGGAGTGTGGTCAAATTACAAACGTTTTAACCGAATCCTAAGTGGAAGTAGCTGGTCGAACGCGTGATTATTGGCGCCACAGTGAAGCCAATCGATGGAAGAAGGGTTTCGAGCGGTCTGATCTACAAACAAACAGACATAGCGCAGACCACCCAGCAGTTGAGATAGCTGCTGTTGGGATGGCTGGATAGCCTGGACGAGGCAGCGACCAAAATCTGGGAAGCGCGACCTAGCGCTTCCCAGATTTTGGGTCGGGCATCGATACTGTCATCATTCCAGGTCTAGTGCCACGAGGCGCGCTGTCCAAGTCGTGATCTTTTCGTTTTTAATAGATCTGGGACTCAGAATTGCTCCCATCGCTAGTCGTAATGCACTCTCGCCCATCGCCAAGCGATGTTCCACGTCTTCTTCACCCCCACAGTGTGATCATCGACACAACTAAAGTTAAAAAAGGAGTGGTGTCAGAATTGAAATAATTCATGATGGGAAGGCTTCCCACTGCACCAGAAGTGATATAGCTTGACCGAAGATATTATAGTGTGCTGGAGAACCTGTCCATCCGAACGGAGGTGACAGGTCGATCACAACAACGTCTTCATCTGGAAGTGACCCGGCGAAAAATGCTCTGCCATCTTCGTGTACAGGGAAATTTCGGAACGCTGAGTTCACATCACCTTTCATCAGCCTGACCGTTGCAGATAATTAGGCGTACGCAGCGAAATGATGCGTCTAACAATCCCATCTACGAGAAGATACACCAGTACGGGTAATGAATCGTAATTAGATCTAGCCTTCGTTGAGCCCCTTTGATTGAACAACAGATCGGGAATCGTCCTAGCTTCCGCAGTAGGATCCACATCAGCTTTAATTGACACAGCCAGTGGACTATAGTGTCGATTGAATTTTGCAGCGGTAGCTCTGGTAACGACCAAATATGTTCCACAACTTTCGTCTTTAGGGATTCTCCGAATGAGCGTATTCTGCGTCGTTTGTGCTGAGTTATGATTTCTTACTGGCGTTTTACGTTCCAGTGCTTTGGGCCCAGGATTGGACTGTACTGGCCAAAAAATGTCTAGGCTGCTGTTGACTCATGTTCAGCTCCGGTGGTTCGAAATACGTCTTCCCGCGATGAAAGCTGGCCGGAATTTCTCGATTGGCGTCTTTGTAGATATCGAAATCCAGCACATGCCCAACACCAAGGCTCTTATAGACTTCCGGGGACGCCTTCAGGGCATGTAGTCGCTTGAACGAGGCATTGGCGAGCGAGCCACGAGGCCAGATAGCAATTTTGCTATTGCCTTCGTGGCTCTCCTGTCTTTTACCCGGCGATCGAACCAATGTAGTATTATGTATTTTGGCAAGGGCAGTAGAGGTTTTGATTACTGGGAGTAAGACTGCCTGCGATAGATGAATACAAATTTCGGTGCGACTATCTCTATAGCACCTCGAGTACACCCTCAGTAGTTTGAACTCGTAAACGCCATCGTGATATGCTGTGCCTTAATCGTGATGAATGATTCTTTCGACAATAGCAGCAACAGGATGCCACAACAACAGCCCAGGTAGTCCCGTGGTGAGCTCGTCTCGGGAAACCTGACGACTCGAGACCGTTTCGGCTGCTACTGAGGCTGTAGCTGTAACTTCTCCATCAGAGTTCGGTAGAATTCGAGTGTGGCTCCGTGCTTCTCAGCGCGATGTCACCACACCGTAGCGCGGTCCTGCGTTGGACTTGTGCGGGGCGGCTCAGGGGTACATACGAGCAACCGGGACATGAGGAAGTGGGTGGGTCGAGCTGTCAAGAGACGAGGCTTGAATGTGAAGGAACCGGTTCTTGGAGGTGGATAAAGCGCAAATGAGCGAGAGCTTTTGGCTGAGGACTGCTGGGGTGGGTACAGTCTAAGAGCAGGAGCCATGACTTTTCGAGCAGGGTTAGCATTTGTGACAACCACCCCTGCATCTTGTCGAAACGGCTACCCACTCAGAAAAAGCGCTTTTCACCTCCATACATAAGCTTCAATTTCTCCAATTAAACGAGAAAGACTCAAATCAAAAAATTAATAATCGCAGAATGACCTAAACGTCTAGTCATAATGTTTCGACGGGATATTTGCGAGTCGACAAGTTAACGGTTCTGAACACAATAGCAAACACCAAGGGTGATGTAATGATTTAATCATGCATATTAAAAATTGTATTAATTTGATTGTAGATTTTTTTTTAATTTATACGTAAAATGGTGTTAAGGTATGGATAACCTAAAGCTTGCTTCTGTAACAAAAGGACGGGTATTATGCACGAAGTATTAAAACGAGATATAAAACTAATAATGTGGTATTTGGCTTGGCACGTGTGCCCACATCTTCATTTAAACTATTGTAGATCGTCTGCGACGGTCAACAATACCGGATTTAACCGAGGGTTTGCCTCTGTGAATCCGGGTATCGGTAGCCGAATCCCAGAATTGGTATCGGTAGGTTATATCTGGCGGATGGGTATTTGAAGATGTTTATTGCTGCTTGTATTTCATTATCAAGAGTTTTGGTTAAGCCTCGTGCCCTCGCACTTTTCAACGAGACAAGATGCTTGACAACTTATTTAAAGCGGAAATTTGAAGCAAGAAAACGTTTTTCACCTATTTTCAATCTTTACAAAAATTACACGTATTGTGCCTTTCTGCTATTGGATGCGCCCGAATAAAAGCCCCCTTCCGAATAGTGTCCTGTGGGGTGCTACATGCCTGCACTATTAAATACAAGCCTCTCCCGAATAGAGTCCTTTTACAAACTACCACACCTGTTATTACAAACTTACTGACCATTCATTATACAGAGAGGAACAATTTTCCGGCAACAGGCCGAAAGTTGCCCACACTTTTGGTGTGGAAAGGAAAATATTCATCGTCTTTTAAAATCAAAGTAAGGGCCACTTTTCGTGACACACCAACCACGAGCTTGGGTTGATAGCAAGCTGCTCAAGAAGTGTATTGATGTGGCTATTCCGTTTGTGATACACGGTGAGCGTAAATGCTTGGTTTGGGACAGCATGAGAGCCCACATATCGAAGGCTGTGGAAGCTAAGTGCTCTTCGATTAGTGTTCGATGTGTGCTGTGCTTGGGTGGTTACTTGTAAGCTGGAGATATTGGAATCTATAAGAGTTTCAAGGACCTACTGTACATATAAATAAACGCTTAGAAGGAGTCAGACCAATAAAGTCCTCACCCGTTTTAAGTCCTCTCTGTCACTTTCGAGTGGCACTATTAAATATAGCCCGGACTCTAATAGGGCGCATCCGTTATTTTGTCCTCCCAATCGGACTTATTATTTGGGCTTTGGAGCCTAAACAAGAGATCTGTAAATTGAAGTAAGCCAAAACGCAAAATTAACTATGTGGGGACATCACAGCTCAACTTTCCTCCTGGCGTCCAGTCGCTTCATTTACCGATAGGAGCAGTAGGCAACCCCCCCCCTCTCTCCTGGAGAGGCTTGATTGACAAGATAACTAACGTGGTGTACGTAGCAGGCGGCGTACACACTCGGACAGCGGGCGGAGCGCACAGAGGAGCGTACAGAGGTACCATGGGACCCTGGATTAGAGAGTGTGTGAGTGACAGCGAGGCGGCATGATGTCGGTTTGTTTGTCGCTGCATTATATTTATGCGCTATGACGGCTAATGCTGAGCTGTTTTTATTTGTAGGTGGCTTTAACGCATCACGTCTGTCAGGAAGACAAGCAAGCGTCTGCGGAGGCCTTGGCCATATTAATGGTGCTATTGTGCGGGTAAGTGCATGTTTACAAGGCGTCATGCTGCAGAAAATTCTTACCGCTTGCCATACATGTTGATACCGTATGATCTAACACTTCATGCCACTGTCACGCAGGTGCATGTAAGACTACAGTACGTATGATAGATCCTAATTGGCGAGAAGCGTGTCTACTGAATTGAAAAAGAGGTGAGCCCAGCTGTAGTTGCAATGATCGTGTCACTTGTACTGCTGCTACCAAAATAAAACCCTTTTCAAATGGTCTGTAGATTAATTGGAAATTTCAACTGGACTTCCACCTCAGCTCAACTGTCGTTTATGCGTGAATTTGGGGAAACTATTCAATCCCGTCCAGAGACAAAGTTCCAGGGAACGATTTCGTGTTCTTAGTCTCAGACGGCTATGGCGCTCGATTGGGGCATATCAAGCGTGTGTTCGATACGACGTTAGGTTTCACGTGGAACGAGCCTGTCAAGGTGTACGTGAAACGCACAAACCACGCGCCACAGAATATTACGTGCTGGTGCCATTCACGTCGAGCGACATGGAAGTACCACTCGTTACAATTTGGCACAAGGCGCGCCTGCGGAAGCACGGACATGCAGCTTTCGTGCTCTTATTGCTCGTGTACGTACCACACCCGAGAGCACAGCGTCTGACGTCACTACGACGGGCAACAGACACGCGCATTCAGGAGAAGCTACCTAGAGCTGCGGCGTTCATGAGTGAGACCGGAATCGAAGGCGGAGCTTCCACACAGCGACATGCGGTTGTTAGCCAAGCACGGCTGCCCGACGGCAGTATTGAGGAGGTTCCGCACAACACTACTTTTCGCCAGCTGCAATTTATCAATCGCCAACAGAATACAATGGAGCAAGAACGAGCGGTCCAGCATGCGAGATGTGATGAAGCGTATCGGCTAGTGAGAGTACAAATACATGGTGTTACGATGCCCATGCTGTTTAACGTAGGCGATTTGCGTGATGCTCTAGAACGTCCCTCCTACCGTTTGCATCCACCCCATCGTGTACCCCAACACCTTGATGTGCCTGATCCAAGCATGGATATTACTGATGCTGATCACGAAGATGGCGGTTTGGACGCAGAAGAATAGGAAACGGATACACTTGCTCAAATCGACGGAAGCTGTATTCGATTAGGATGATGTCCACAATGACCGTATAAGTTGGTAGCAACGAATTTACTCTTCTCCGTGCAGTAGTCATAGCAACTTTCAAACTTCTTTTGGGTCTTCTCGAAATAAATATGTGCGTGCTGTTGGCTCCAGCGCTTAAGTAAGGAAAACCCAGCTTCAATTAGGCTCAGGTCCGGCGAATATGGTGGTAAAAACACAAAACAGAGCTCTCGTTACGTGAATCAGCGCCTGCAGCTCTTGATACATATGTATCTTAGCATTGGTTAATTCAACGATCGAACGAGGTAGCGGCCATGGGCTCAGGAAATGTATATTCTTGGACTTGAAAACACCGTGAAAGCTGGTCCTTGTGAAAGTATCATCAGCTGTCCCCCACGAAAAAAACTGTCGTATCCATTACTGCAAGAACTGATACGCGGTTCCCCCGAGCAAATGGGACATTAGCTATAGCTGGTGTGTTTCGAGCCCGAACATCCATGTTTTCGCAACATAGACCTATAAAAACCAAAATTATTGGAAATTGAACCTAATAGACTTGCCATTGTTCATACCTGCCGTCCTTGGAAGTCTCATCTACAAAACCTAGCTGATCCGGTCCACTGTAGTAAGAGGCAAGACGCTGGACATATTCCTGGCGCTCTCGAGGTAGACTCTTCACAACACTCTTGGTTAGAACCTTACAATTGAGGCCCTAGTCAAACTGTAACGCACGGTATATTGTGGCATCTGACACGTTGCGGTGCATGTCAAACTGTTGAGCTAGTTCAGCACTCAGCTCTTTAAAGTAAAAGCATACATGATCTTTGACATACTCCTGAACTAACAAACACACATTCTGAGGTCTTTTGACTTGGGCTCTTTTTATCTACATTACGTGTCTTGATACCTCTTAGTGAGGCTTCTCTCAGATGCACCTAAGACAGTAGAAAGCGCGCTTAGCTGAACGTCATTAGCATACATGAGCCCGATACCGCGCCACTTCATATCTAATGAAAAGGTCATTTTTTTAGATACTGATGAGGAAGAGCTTTGTTTCCAAATGAAATGTTTGAATGTCGACGAAGACATCGGCAATCGGGGTATTTCGATGAAAGCGAATTCCGACCAGCCATCTCACATGCTTGAATTAAAACGGTACAATGGTACAATATTCCAAATCATCACTCATTAAACTAATTGCTGGTATAAAATATCTGCTTGCCCTTAATTTTTTTGTTCAGTACGACTCGGAAAACCAACTTTTCTTGCCGGATTACGGTGAAATCCGCCATACCTCTCAAACACGCCCAAGTCCAAACATGGGTTTCCCACCGAAGAAACCAGTTTTAGCCAATCCGTATGTCGTATTTGGGCGTTTCTGTACAATCAACTCATGATGTGTTGATTCCTGCATCGTTTCTGTACATTTGGAATCGTTTTTGTACTTTGTGCTCAGACTTTGAGCTGAAACTGCCACTTTCAACCAATCAAATAGCTGGGCGGGTATTCTTGTCGCGCGTAATATTTTTATTTTGTATGAAGGATAGTGTTCAGACACCGGGCAGATTTCACCGTCGTTGTCTGTAGCCGAAATAAGGAAAAGGCAAAATGATATTCGGTTAAATGTAGGGTACGTTCGCATCCTGGAATACCATAATAAATGAAGTATAATAGCCGCCGCAAAGCTTTGGCCCGACATTGCGGACAAAACGGTGATGCCAATGCAATTAGTCGAAATAACTGAGCATTTCGTGCAGAGAGAATGTGAATGCGATGGAAATTGGCGATGATATGAGCTGCCAAAGTTCCGGTCGGTTAGTTATCACGCACACCCCATACATTACACAAGATTTCAGATCATGAAGGCTTTCTTACTTTAGCTAAGCTATATTGGTTATCCAACTCAAGCCTTCATGACTTACGTCCTGGTACGTTTCCTGTCTTATTTCATATCTAAGCAGTCACATTTGACGCGCCATTTTTGACTGGAACATTCAGATCAAGAGCTTTTCAACAGTAAAAATATAATGTAAATGGCCGCGCCATGATGGCGCCCGCGGTGATTTGCTAAGCGGGATCTTGTGTTAATATTTTTTGTAAATATTACAAAATATATTTGAAAAATGCGACTATTTATAGAGTCTTCATTGGAGACTTCAATGCATCATTGTCCCTTTCTTGCTATTAAAGCGTTGTATGTGTACAGCTGGAATTATCTTATCAGAGGTGGGGTCCACTCAGATTTTGCAGGGAGCTAAGAAAGGATTCTTATCTAGGAAAATAATTGCAAGTGTTATATTTGGGACGGATAGCTATTATTATGTTCTAGGCACCTGTCGCACAACCAATCGTGTTTATTTGACAGACTCCTTTTGTGCCCCTTGTTCAAGACACGAGCTACATCCCCATCGACCGCCACACCGCCCATGGGCAAGTCTAAGGCTAAGAAGCCGCCATTGTATGGCTCCGATCCATTTGTGGTGGAGTGAGCCGAGCAAACTGAGAACATATTTTAAAAATTTTTTTTGCTAAGAAATAAACACTAGATTAGCGATCTTAATTTGATCCGTTTTAAAATGCATGGCACTACACTCTGTCATGAATCGCATTCACTCCAAGACAACACGCTCTCACCAAACAGCAAAATAAAATATTGATTAATTTTCACCTTGGCGGTTGCTAACCCTGTTCTTCTGATTCTCGCCACGTATAATACAATGGTCTGAAACCTGCTCCTGTGTTCAACTATAAGAGCCGCAGACTTACACGTCAACACACTTCTGCGTGATGCTTTCATGGCCTTGGCCTTACTTCTCAGCACGGTAGCGCGCGGTAGGAAACTTCTTCGGCTACGCTTCGAGAAGAATGCCGAGCTTCTTGCTAGCGTAATAGCTCTTTGCCGCTGTCACGAGAATCACAACTTGTGATTCTTGTCTCGCTGCAGCTCAGGCAGCGACAGAAGCTGGAGCACACCTGACAAATGTTTCTTGAGACCTTGCGCTGTCTTTAGCTTCCGGTGGCAATGAGGGCATGTGCGGGTGGGCCCTCTTTCGATCTTCCGACCTTCTTGCGCGGTGCCGTCTTCTTCTCCGGCTTGGAGGTGCGGCAGTTGCGAAGCTCCATGGCGAATGATAACGGAAAAAATGGGAAGGATATTGTATTGTAACAGAATTACTGATGGGAAAAATATGAGTGGACATCCACTCAGATAAGATAATTCCTCTGCACAGAGTCTGTGCCATAGACATACAGTAGTTTAGATTGAACCTGGAATCAAGGAATTTCCATAATCCAGTACTAGTGTACAATGTACTGTTTTTTTGAAAAGGAGGTGACTTTTAAATGTACTGTTTCCAGTACATTTTACGTTCGTGTGTTTTTTTACGAGCTCAAGCTAGTCGTTACTCCTGATTCGCTACGCGTTCGCTGCGTCGTGTAGGTACAGTAGTCTTTTGCGCCGTCTTCCTCTTGTTGGTTGGTATGGCCGCACGAAGTCGATGGTCTCTAACTCAAAGTCGACTTTGAGCTTCCACGGAAGTTTTTGACGGGCTCCCATTAATTCGCGAAAACCAGCCCATTGCACCAGATAAAACTCTTAATTAGGAACCCAGCGCTTGGCGTAGAGGCGTTTTACATCGTAGAGCTCTTCGCTTCTTGCCGTTTTTGTCCAAGCCTCTTCGCTACTGGGAGGGCGCGCAGGTAGGTTTTTATTAATCTTGAGGTTGTAGAAGGATCCGTCTGCCTTTCGATTGAAGTTCTTGGCGTGCTTTTTGCCTTTGTTGTGCAGCGGTATCTCGATAAATCCAAAACGAAGCGCGCTTTGCCAAACTTGTCTGAGACAGATGCTGCTACCAGCTTGAACAGAACGTTGCGCCGTGTCTTCTGCAGCATTAGTCTCATCGATACGTGCGTCGACAATTAGTTGTGGAGGAGAATGGGCATTTGACATACAATGTGCTGTTGGACACGTCATTCCCAAAATGACACAACAGGTAAAATACTTCGTTCATTAAATGCTGCAATATTTGCTGTCACATGGGCGTACTTACACAGTGTACCAGTACTGGATTTTTACGTGGCGCGGGGCTGTACTGTATTTATAATCCAAATTCTGAATTATTAAAAACTCGCCGATTTACAGAATCCAGATCGCTACAATAGTACTGGATTATGAAAATTCCACACCCGGAATCTGCCGACCAGATCAGAGTCTAATCACCAGTCCACTGATTACGAACCAATAGTTACTAAACAGCGTTTTCCAGTAGTCTGATTAATTTGCATAGGAAATTTACAGCAATCTCGTGATTTGTCAAATGTATCCCCAACCCATTGTATCCGATATAAAAGGGTACAGTATATGAAGGGGGATTTCTGTAATAGTACATTGTGTATTACGTCGTACATGGGGTATAATACCGGTACACTACTTTCAAATCAAAAGCAAAATTCCCAGGTGGGAATCCCAGCTGTCTGTTCAAGTCTGGGGAAGTTTACGTTTGCAGCTACCGATAATGTAAAAAAAAAAATATACTTCGAAGTACATTCGTGGACTGGCCAAAAATGATTCACTCTTGGCCTACATTCTGAGTGAAACGGTTTCAGATGCAGTACTGGTACCCGTCTGTAAGTTATTCGAAATTCAAGTAGGTGCATGTACTTACTTGTACGCCATCGTACCGGTACTGTTTTCTTAAGGATTTACTGTCCATTCACTTGGACATGTAAGTTTCAAGTGAATGGCCTTTAGTCGGAAAAAGCTTACGGCATACTTAAGTACAGTAACTCATGTTTGTGATTTTTCAAATCCCATATCGTGCCAGCGTGTCATGCTGGCAAGCTGAGCGTGTGTATTTACTGCATGTAATATTACCGTAGCAACACCCTAAACATTTGGTCGCAACGGCTCTCAAGAACAAAAAATCGCGCTCAGATTGCGCAGCTCGGAGTTGCCTCAGTTTGGAATCATCACTGGAGAGCAGAAACGAAATCCGTCGGCTTTGAAGGACTGCGGCTACGATGCGCGTCCAGTACATCGCTCTGGTAGCTGCTATCGCCTATCTCTCGAGTATCGACGGTCTTCAGATCGTCCCATATTCGGCCAAATCCTCATCTCTTCGAGCGCCTGCTGACGCCCGCAACCAACCTTACGTGGAAGGCAAGACAGACCGGTTCCTGATCAGCGAGTCTAAGACTTACGAAGCCACCAAGGCTCCGACTGGGTACGTGTTTGATACCCTCCACGATGACGATGATATGCTATGGAAGGACGAGGATAATGAGTACGAAGACGAAGACGAAAACTCGTCGTTTGACAACGACGAGCGTGGTCTTTTTAAGAGGAGGAAAAGAAAGAAGAAGAAAAAGAAACACAAAGAGACGCTGACGCCAACCCCTGCACTAAATAGTACGGCGACACCCACACCCACACCAACTCCAAAGCCTACGCGTGGTGGTCTCCTCGGGTGGATTGATCGTATTAGCGATTAATGCATTGGTGCAGAAGTCCCCCAGAATAAGCGTAGGGTTTAGACGGGGCACATTTTTAATACTTTCAGAGGAAATAAGCCCTTTTAAAAATTTCATTTGAGCAGATAGAGTGGGTTATTCAAATTCAGAGCTACGCTTATTCATGGGGGCTTCTGAAGAAGCTTTGAGGTATTTTGTCGGAGCAACGCTGAAGTCGCAATACCAACATTAAATATTCTCAGGTGGGTCGGTAATCGAGTCCATTGATTTACTTTTGGGTGAGCTAACTCAGCAGTTACATCTATACGACTTGCCTTCCTCATTTTGTTGCACGAGTACTAAATAAGTATAATCAAAGAACTTCTAGTGGTACAACAGTATTTTCTACAAATACAGGCTCACTACTATTACATGTATAATACTAATAGTAGTATGTACTTTTCCCCGTTGCAAATTCTCAGCTCCAGGCAGAATATAAACGAACACCCTCGAAAAGTGCCGTAGCTCTTTCAATTCTTACTAGTATGATTTTACGATGCGGTTTTAAGTCAAAATATTCGACATGTATATCATACCACGGCTCTGATACGCTGCGCTTCTTGTTGCTCTAAGATGTACAGTACTACGTAGTATTTTTTACTTTTTACATTAAGGCTCTCGCAATTATCATGCTTTCGCACTTTAGTGACGTCACAAACTCAGGATATTTGACAAATCCGATCAGATCTAAATTAAAATACCGGTTCTGACAGCCGGAATCTAAATATTTTGGCCTTCACTCTGTACAAGTACAATAATAATTAGCCTTGAATGGTGTAGTATACCGGGTGCACTGCTTCAGTTGACTGTTGGAAGTGGTCGAGTAGTTTTATACCATCCTTTTCAAAAGAAAACATGGCGACATGAATACATTCCTCAGAGTTTTTTTTTAGTAGTATTTCGTTTCGAATCCTGGACTGAATGCAAGCTCTTTATTTTAGTCAAAACTAAAACGGATAAGAGTCCTTGAGAATCGGCGTGAAGTTGTCATCGCCCAGTGGCATCACAACCATTGCTCGTGACGGATCTGACTCGAAGTCGAACTCGGTTAGAGCATCACACGCTTCATCTGTTAGCTGTTCCCACGTGATGAGGTCTTGAGTTTCACCGAGTTTTTTCGTTAATTGGAGAGCCTGGACACCCATCCAGAAACTCGCATAGGAGTCGAGCTTGACTGTTGTACCCTTTACAATATACTTTGCCTTCGGGGAAGATTCCTTCACGTACCCCCTACTACCGGACATCGACACTCCGAGAATAGTCGAGTTGTCATGATTGGGATCGTCCGTCCACAAAATTGCATACGACCAGAAGTGACGGTGACCCGTGTCAAACCTAAGCACAAACTGTGGCCCCTTCGGGAAGTACCAAGCGTACATGATGGCCCACTTGCCCTTGAACCAGGCGGAGCGCGAGTAGACCTGGGACCCCAAGCCAGGCTCTTTGCAGTCACCGTTGGCCTTACCGGACCATTTCAAACCTCCACTGATTGAGCCGTTGCTCTGGACAGCAGGGTACGGATGACATCCGTCCGAGATATGCAGTTGCGGCTTGTACTTGATGGCAGACTTCTCCGAGTCTGTGGCTGGTTTTATCTGCTCGAACGGCTGCACTTGGTCATGGTTGATTGTAGTCCTGGCTGATACGAATGAGAGAAGGACACTGACGAAGAGGAGACCAAGGTTCATCTTGGAGCTGGGTGCTAAGTAATTCGCACGGTGTGGTTTATTAAGAAATGAATCCGACAATGGGCATAAAGGTATTTTTAAAATGCAATAGCATAGCATAATAAAAATGTGTTTGTTTGCAGTACTTACTGATTACGGTATGGTACGAATCAATTTTACAGAATTCATTCTGTCTATTTATTGATTTTGGGAGCAGCGGGGTGACCTCTACGCTTCGAGTATTTTCTTAAGGTCCCACAAAAAAGAAGAAGGAGCTGTTTACTCTTGTGCTTGTTGATTAAATCAAGTGGAAAATGGTGAGCTCTGAGCCTCTTTAGAAGAAAGAGCTGTGAGTTTGATGTTGCTCTTGTTTAAAACATCTGTGTTCCTCGTAATGATCTAAACCTGGCTCTCACCAGGCGGCTCTGGGCGCATCAGAAAAGTTCGTGGCAAGGAGAGGAAATACCATCGGTCAGTAGAAAACTACTGATCTGTCCCCAACGCGGCGCAGAAAAGACGGCAATCAGTAGAGAATGATAAAGTTCGATCCGTACCTAACTCTAATCATAGCTACATTTCTGCTGCCTTCAGCAAAACCGCTTTTGCCCTAAGCGTACCATGCCTCGAAAGCCGCCTCCGAATTATGGGAGTTCTCCCTTCGTGGTAGATCTTTCTGACATCGCTACAGCTATAAGCATGGGTGTTTTGAGGGAGGACGCAAAAGTTGATACCTCAGACCGCTCCAGCCAAAAGTATGGGGGAGTATACGCGACACGAACCAATATTGCAGACACTGAGTTTCCAACACAAACAAGGAAACTTACGACACAAACAATTGCAACCGTTGACTGCTGATTAATAATTAAGGTATTTCTTTCCAATAGATTATCTTACTGATCCTCACTCTCAATAAATATCAGCAGCAAACATGTGACGGGGTCACACAGCACCTTGCGCTAGAGGAAGTTATCTTCCGAGAGTATACAAACTCTCAGTGAACGGCAGTTCACAGGTCCCCTCTTTAATTAACTAGAGCGAAGTGACCTAAATAAGGTAGATTGTAAACTGAGTATATTTATAGGTAGGTTAAGTTTGTGGTTAATACAAACTATCAGTTACCTATAGAAATGCAATGTCATTTAACCAATGGTTGGTTTTGAATGACCTTGGTACCTTGTACCAAATATCCCGGAGTATGACATGTCATACTCCTGAAGTGTGAAGTGTCACACTTCATGTAACCAGGGTACACTTAGTGCTACGTACCCCGTTACATCCTCCCCCACTTAGGTTCGGTTTACCGACCAATCAGAATGAAGAGATGTTCGTCACAAACTCTCATTCTCAAAGTCGAAAACCATCGACTCGGCCGCGCGAGCGCGGCGGAGGCTCACTTTACAGTTAGAGCCTCGAGCAGCAACCTGTGCGCTCTTCGTCAAGGTCTCCACTTCGACCGTTAACATGCCTCGTGGCACTGCTAAGAGCGGTGCTAAGACACGCTCCAAGGCTGCAGCCGGTAAGGCGCAGGCCAAGAGCACTAAGCCTCACGGCAAAGGCTCTGCACTCAAGGAGGCTACTCAGGTGGCCTCCGAGGCGATCGGATCCTCGGGTGACGCGGCTGCGGACAAGCGCGCAAGCAGGCGCCGCAGTCCGTCGCCCTCGTCTTCAGACAATCGTCCGAACCCTCGGTTCGTAGAACATGAGTTCAACTCGGGCAGTGAGGACGATGCCGAGTTCGAGAGCACTCATGATGCTCCTGCGGGCTCTGTGGGAGGGCACAGCCCAGTGCCCAGTGAGCACAAAGAAGACAGCGTGCAGTCGTCCGCTAGTGATCACGGTGATCACAGTCCCAGGACCTCTGTGCGCTCTGAGAGTCCGGCCGTTAAGGCTAAGGGCACTCCCAAAGCCGGTGGCGATGAGGAAGGGAGTCCTCGCAAACGTCTCTCGCTTGCCGAGGGTCTTGCGCGCGCTAAGGCCTCTAAAGCCGAAGGCGCCAAGCCCTCAAAGAAGCGTACCGCCTCTAAGTCTCCACTCCGCGAGGAGAAGGAGACTCGACGCTCCTATCAGAGTCTCTTCGGCTCCTCGGATGAAGAGGAGGAGAAGGAGGAAGAAGAGGAAGAGGAGGGTGCCATTGTTGAGCCCCGGGAGGTCTCGAATGACCTCGACCAGCAGCAGGAGGATTTCCAAGCTGCCCAGCGTGTGCGTGGGGGTTCGGTGGCGGCACCCGTCAGCCAGGGAGCTGCCATCAACTCAAGAGGGTATTGGCCTCCCGAGGAGAGCTCTGGGGCTGACCTCTTCTTAGAGCTTCTCGTCGCTCCTCGTGGCCTTGTGGGCGGCCACACTTCTAGGGGCATCTATGAACGAGCCCTTGTTCAGAAAGAACAGTTGTTCGTCGACAACGTGGAGGCTGCTCGGTGTGTGCTTCTCGCGCCACACCGCATTCCCCTTAAGGACTTCACGACTTGTCGTAAGAAGCCCGAGACCCGGGGTGGTCTCTATCCTGTTTGGGGATACCCTAGGTTATGCCCGAGAACTGTCCCACGTGGAGTTCTTGTGAGGACATGTTCTGGGCGTGGGTGGAGACTCTCAAGTACTCCCCCACGGAGTTATGGGAACTCCATGAAGATCAGCAGCTGTCCCACATCCTGGACCAGCGTGATCTTCGTGTGAGGTTTGCCCACTTGATCAGCAAGCGTATGCTGCCAAGGGACATCCTGAAGCGCGCGGCTTCTAGCGCTCACGATGAGCGCGGGTACGGTATGTATTCATCGACCGTACCCCGTTCGGGCAAGAAGCCCCGGACTACTTATGAAAGCTGCCGCCGCTTCTGTTCCCAGATTGCGACAGCCTTCGGGCAGTCAATCAGGAGCCGTTCAATCGGCTCCCACGAGTTCTCGGAGTGGGCATAACCCCTCCACTTCACGAGGAGCTGTCGCTTCCCGCGACACCGTTGCTCCTGGAGGATCCGCTCCACGTGGAAGTGGACTTCTCCATTCCGGTCAAGCAGGGGCGGAGGTGCCCTCGTACGAGTACGAGTACTCGGCGCCTCCCGAGAGCCACTCTCGTTCGAGTGCTCCGACTGCGGGTCCGACACGGGACCCTGAGGTTGACCGCCTCCGTCAACGTCTCCTCGTGCTTGAGATTGCACTTGGCCTTGGGACTGGCGGTAATGCTGCCGCCCAGGCCGGGAATCAGGGCGAGCTCGCTCGTCTTGCGGGTCGCCTGGACCTGGTGGAGCGAGAGGTCGCGAGCCTGCACCTGCGGGTGGACCGCCGGGCCTCTTCGTCCGATCTGGACGAGGCCTTTCGCATGATCCGACGGATCGAGGCTTTGTTGCCACGTCCGGAGCCGCCTGCGGCACACTCCCAGACGTACGCGTATGGTGCGTACCCGGCGTACTCAGCGTACTCGGCGTATGGCGCCGGGGTCCGTTCGTATGGAGCCCCTCCGGCGTACGGTCTTGACCGCAGCCTTGCCGTCCCGACCGAGGCTTGGGTGCCTGCTCCGACGCCCTCGTCGACGACTGTGACCGGCCCTCGCTTCGAGGAGCTGGGTCAAGGGGGGTCTGCGAGTCAGCAACCCCCTGCGGGTCAAAGTACCGCTTAAGACGTCCGACATAGAACGTCGGGTGCGTCGTCATTGACTTTGGAAGGTCGATGGTGTACGACGCACCATGTCTGGCCAGGACTGCAAAAGGTCCGATGAAGCGGTGCTTCAGCTTGTTGCTGCCGACAGAGCTGACAGTGTCTAGCGGTAGGTTCCTCGTGTCTAATAGCACTAAGTCCCCCACTTTAAATACACTTAAGTTTCCTCTTCCTTGTTTGTCCGAGTACTCCTTTTGTCTATCCTGGGCCGCTGCCATGGCATCGCGGACCCTGCTGACAATGTTCAGCTTGGTATCCATAAAGGATTCCACCTGTTTCCGCAGCGAAACTGGCCTCACATCCGAGACCTGGGAGGAAAGGGCTTTCCGAGCCTCTCCCCCACTTAGAATAGAGGAGTCAGTGTTTCCTCGAAGAGTGAGAGGCACTCTGGGGTGGCGGAAGCCGTTCAAGTAGAACGGCGTGAACCCCGTGGACGCGTGCACCGCGTTGTTGAGCGCAAACTCAACAACTGGAAGCTGCGTCGACCACGTACGTGGCGCTGCCGCGCACACACTGCGCAGAGTGTCCTCGAGCACTCGATTGACGCGCTCTGTTTGGCCGTCTGTCTGCGGATGATCCGCAGTGGACATCTGCAGACGAGTTCCCAGTAAAGGGAACAGCGTTTTCCAAAACGCAGCAGTGAACCGCGGGTCTCGGTCCGAGACAATCGTCTCCGGGAGACCGTGATAGCGGAACACGCCATCGACGAACAACCTTGCGGTTTGTTCGCCCGTCACAGTGACGGGAACTGGAGCAAGATGTACCATCTTGCTCAGCCGACACACGAACAACAAAAAATGTCGGTGTTGCCGTGTCCGTCGGCGGGAAGCCCAAAGATGAAGTCAAGACTCATCGACTTCCAACAATCAGCCGGTACGGGCAGGCTCTGTAGTGGAGCCGAAGAGTGCCCTGCGGGTTTAACCCGCTGACATGTTTCACATGTCTTGACGTACCGGGCGACCCACTTGTACATGTGGGTCCACCAGAAGGACTGAGAGACCGACAGAAAGGTCTTCTCGCGGCCCAAGTGGCCGCTGGAGGGCGCGTCATGCGCCTCCGCGAGGATGTCGAACTTCAGATCCTCGTCGTTGGGTACAACCACCCGTGGAGGATCAGTGGGCTCTACCCGATAATAGAGGAGGCCCTCCTTCAACTCATATCGGTGGAGCCGTGAGCGCTGTCGCGACGAGAGCCAGTCGGACTTCGCGCTCGTTCCGGCCTTAAGGAACTTGACGATAGGCGCGACAGCCTCATCGTCCCGATACGCCATGCGTATCCGATCATATAGATCCGTTGTCACCCGCGTGATGTGGGCCAACTCATAGTCGGGACGCCTAGAGAGGGCGTCCGCAAGCACGTTGAGCTTGCCCGGCTTGTACTCGACGCGGAAGTTATATTCCGCGAAGAAGGACAGCCACCTCGCCATCCGTTGGGAGAGGTGAGGCGAGTTAGTCGCCGTCCTCAAGGACGCGTGGT